TTGGAGGAGGTGCAATTTTGTGGAAATCCACAAAACAAACGTGTATAGCTCGGTCAACGATGGAATCGGAGTTCATCGCTTTAGATAAAGCTGGTGAAGAAGCCGAGTGGCTTAGAAATTTTTTATCCGATATTCCATGTTGGGATAAGACTTTGCCGCCTGTGATGATTCACTGTGATAGCCAAGCTGCTATTGGTAGGGCACAAAGCAACTTGTATAACGGTAAGTCTAGACATATTCGTCGTAGACATAATACCGTACGTCAGTTGATCACAAATGGTATTATTTCCATTGACTATGTGATGTCTAAGGAAAATTTGGCTGATCCTTTGACGAAAGGATTGAATAGAGATCAATTGACAGTTTTGCTAGAGGGAATGGGCTTAAAAATCCACAATGTAAAGAATGATCATAGTGGTAACCCTACCATGCTGAGTGGAGATCCCACGAACTTGGTTCAAAGGGAAAACTAAGCTATGAAAATTCAGTTGAGCACCTGGAACATATGAATGTCCAAAGCTATTCCCTAGAGCACTCCAAGTGCAAAATAACCTGTTGATTGTGGTGAGGGTAAGTCATATGGACTTTTAATGAATCCCTAACCTTGTAAAGGTAGAGTAAGACAGGATACTCTTGATAGGGAGGTCACCTATATAAGTGTGAAGTGTGGGCCGCTTCAAATGTAAACACTTATGAATCCAAAGTGTTGTCCATGGCCAAAACGGACACAACGTTAGAACGGAATGGAGTTAAGACTCTATTGTGTGAATGTCATTGTCTCGTTGTACACTATGGAGGAATAGTTCAAGGCATTATGTCCACTAGGCCGCCAGTGCATCCGATGATGTTTACTAAGAAAGGTTCAAAGCCAAAAACTACCTTATCTGATGCAATAGAGTTCTGTGAGGATTGAGCAAAATAGCCTATATTTATTTAATCTACACTTTTGTGGGGGATTGTTATAAAAAGTGTAGGGGGCGGTGCCACATGCAGCCGCCCCCAATTACAATTATTATATTTTTTTTTTATTGTTGCTATTGTTAGAAAAGTATAGGGGCGGTGCCGTCCCACTGGCAGCCGCCCCACTTGCTTATTTAAAAAATAAAAAAATAAAAAAATAAAAAAAGAATTTATTATATTTTTTTTATTTTGTAATTTGTTGGCAATTGGCCAACTTGATACCATCTCCTCCCCTATAAATAGGCCATTCGGCCAAATGACCAAGTACACAAAGAAGAAGAGAAAAGAGAGGAAAGAAAGGAAAAGAGAAAGGAAAGAAAATATAGATATATGTCCAAATATCGGACATAAAAATATCAAAAGAGAAGAAACAAATGATATTTTTATTTGTTTTATGATATATCTTTTTAATTTTAGTGCTCAATTCTCAACTCCGTTAAAGTTCGCCGGAGCTCGTAAATCTGGTGTGCTACAGATTTAGAGACGTTTGCCGTTGTATCTTTGGGGAAGTTACGCCTGAACCGTTAGCTGCCACACGGGGCGTATTCTTTTTGCGGAAAGAGTTTTACTCGCCTCGGTTATAAAATCTTTCCGTTTTCAGTCGTATTTTATTTTTCAGTTCAATTGTAATTTTCTATTTTAGATTATTTGTAAGAACTGAAAATACATATCAGTTCGTAGGATTCCCGTGTAATTTTGACACCAAAATATCCAACAGTGAATTTGCATTCGAAATATGCAGTTGATAAAACTAAATATGCATTTTGGTATGAACTGAATATGTATTTTTATGAAGTAAATGTGCAACAATAACATTAACTAAGTATGCATTGTTTATGAACTAAACATGCACTTCGTATGAACTAAATGTGCAGTCAAAATATGCAATTAACAATATCTTGGAGGCTTATATTTGTCATTATGTTCTCAATTAAATATGCAATATTTATAGCTAAAATATGCATTGTGTTTTATCAAACATACACAAGAAATAAACCAAATGTGCATTAATTATGTATAATCTCAAGTGCCATATCGTAGTTATTCAAACTTTTAAATAGTTTACAGACTGTACCACAAGGATCAAATTGCAATAACTTATGTGTTTCTGAAACTGCAATTAAATCCTCAAAAGTTATCTAATTTCCAAAGTCAGTCCATGCTTAAAATCCTAACGTTGATGTTGCTGCTCCGCCTACATCGGCATCCTCGCCCCCATCCGCCGACCTCTTTACCAAGCTCATCATCATTGGAAACGAAGATGGAGACGTCCCACCGAACTGAAAGTGGAGGCATGACTCGATGAGTACTCGAAAATGGAGCGTCGACCGATCATCTAGCAGCGGTGGCACTTGGTCGTCCTCCCAGAGGAAGACGACGGAGTAGGACACGAAGCATCTGCTCGAGGATAGTGACCACGAATTGGCCACTGAATCGGAGGGCCTTGACGTCCGAGAAGGGCTTGAAAAGAGATCCGCCGTTGAATTAGTTGATTTCCAGCGAGAAATAGTTGGGATTGGATGACCGTGGGGTCGGTGGCCACAAGATGCCTCGTCGGCCTCGGGCGGCTCCGACAGGAAGAAGAAGTAGCAGTAGTTCCCGCGGCTGCAAGGTTACGGCTCCGACCGAAAGAAGTTGTAGTAGCTCCGGCAGCCACGGGTGGGGTTTCTGGCCGTGGGGGTCACATCTCCGGTTGAAAGAAGAAGTAGCAGCAACTCTGACGGTCGCGAGTAGGGGTTTTGGCAATCGGGTATACGACTCCATCCATCCAACGTTGTCGGCCACCGGTTAACGCTGGTAAACTACAGCAACCGACGTCAACGTCAATTTGTTATATATTTAATTTAAATATAATAATATATATTTTTTACTATATAATTAACTTGTATTTTAATTGATTAATATGAGTAATTGACCAACAAAAAATTAGTGACTAAAATTAAGGTCATGTACTCATTTTAAGAATTCAAGATGTGGACACAAATGGATATATATGTGTATCACATAGTTGTGTTGTTTATTCAAAAAATAAACGACAACTTACCCGTGTTGTTAGACAGGTCGATCCACCATACTAATTGAACAAAAATGTATACTTATCATATCAAATATCATACCTTTGTTTATCCTGTTTTTAAAAGTATGGTATTTTTTTTAATAAAGTATGCATATTTGTATAAAAAAAAAATAAAAAAATAAAAAAAAATTAAAAATTAATCAACCTAATAGTTACGCCTGTCTAATTCAACACCGACCGAAAAAAAAATAAAAAAAATACTTTATATATATTGCATTATTTCTTCACATCATTTCTACATTCCAAAGAACCTGATATAATTATACAATTAGCTGGATGAAATATATGTTGTTCTACACAATCATAAAGAATATATTTGCCTACGCAATATGTATGTTCTGAAATTGGCCGCTCCATACAAATAAAGATACATCGCGTGCATGTAGCAGCTTATTAAAAAAACTGTTCGAACTCCTAACAGTTGTATATATAATATAACACAGAGAGAGAGAGAGAGAGAGAGAGAGAGAGAGAGAGAGAGAGTAGTGTAAGTAAGATCTATGCAGTTCTACAGTAAGCATCCTGCTTTCTAACATGCACGCCGAAAATCAATTCTTGCTAGATACAATTGGTCCATCAGCACCTTTGATTTCTTGCCAGCTACAATTGGTCCATCAGCACCTTTGATTTTGTGTAGCTCTTACATAAAGAAACATATATGAAAATTCAATCACCTGGCTAACAAGTCTATCTGGGTGTCCCGAACATCACCAAGGCCATTTACAACAAGAGATTCGAGCAGTATGAAGTAAAGTGGCTGAGTGCTGGCACAGGTTCTTCAGAGTCGTAAGAAAATCCCGCTGGTGTCACTGGGATAGGACTTTTGCTCAGCCTGTGCTAGACTCTTTGTTGTTTCTCGTAACCAAGTCATAATTAATCGAAGCTAGCTGTGACAAGTTCTGATGGAAAAAAGAAGAACATGAAAATAAAAAATTTGTGGAGTGTTGATATGACTGTCTGACATATGAATCCATTGAAATTTATCATTCAACTGGGGAGAACAAAAAAAAAATGCGATAATTATGGAATCTCATCGAAATTCGTGCTAATAATATTCATCAGAGGATATTATTGTTGTGAAAACATTTAATATGATCATGACAGGAGTCATATGGAATGAATCAACTCATGCGATCAGAACCTTCATGGCTAATGATTCTCACCTTAAACGAGAAATTGCTGAAAGAGTAATTCATCTCAAGGGTCGGGCCACTAAATTCTGCCAAATGTCCACATTCATCCCCCTGCTTGCAAGGACAAGACATAGTTAATTGAATTCTAAACACCAAAAACATGTAAGAAAAAGAACTAGGCTGTATTTAGATGGATGTCCACAGTTGATTTTCCCAATCATTGCAAACGCATGGAGAGGCACGGTGTAATAAAATAGGAAACACGGCTTACAAATCTAGAACTAATGGAGAATTCGGTGGCTGTAGAAGTTACTAATTGGAACCATTGTTGTAAAAGTGCCCGCCTAACTTCGAGTATATCCCACCTCAGCACCTATGACCACCCATATTTTTATCCAATTATATCCCACATAACCCGCCCTAGATTCCGATTAGATCATCCCGCCTAGGTGCTAGGTACCAGTAGGGGTGGGATTTTATACTCGAAAACCGGGGAACTGAACCGAAATAACCGGTTCTGTCTGTTATCTAAAAAATATATATTTAAAAATATTCATTTTTTCCTGTTCGGTTATTTTTTGCACAAAACGGTTCTGGTTCCCATTTCTTTCCAAATGTATGTGTATTAACCGAGGAACCGACTATATATGTGTAATATGCATGTTTTATATGTTTATATATACGAATCAGTTCCGGTTCTTGGTATTTAATATTCGGTTCTTCCTTTATGCATTTCGGTTCATTTTTCACGATACTTTTAGTACGTGAGTTGCAACTTTTTTGACCGGTTCTTAACTCAAAACCAGTTATTGTCGGTTTTTTTTTTTTTT